ATAAAATATCATTATCTTATCTTAAAAATTAATAGTAATTCTTTAATATTATCTGAAATCCAGCATTGTTAAATTTTCTGATTGTTCTGTAAATGTCTTTTTTTTTTTTTTTTTTGAGACAGAGTCTTCCTTTGTCAGCCAAGCTGGAGTGCACGGGTGTGATCATAGTTCACTACAGCCTTAGGCTCCTGGGCTTAAGCGATCGTCCCACCTCCGCCCCCAAGGACCCAGACTACAGGCACTTGCCACCACACCTGGCTAATTTTTGTATTTTTTTTTGTAGTGACGGGGTCTTCTTATGTTGCCCAGGCTAGTCTCAAACTCCTGGGCTCAAGTGATCCTCCCACCTTGGCCTCCCAAATTATTGGTATTACAGGCATAAGCCCCCACACCTGGCCTACAAATGTCTTTTTATACATGGTTTTAATTAAGATTCAAACAGGGTCCACATATGGATTTGGCTGGGTATATCTTTGGAATCACTTTTAATCTAAACAATATTCCCTCCTTTCATTACTATTTATTAATTGAAGAAATAGGTTCCTCAGATTGTGGCACTTCCCCCATTCCAGATTGTCAATTACATCCTGTGGAGTCATTTAGCACCATCCACAATTTCTAGATTTTTGTTAGGTTGTGAGCCTTGATCAGAGCTGGTTTGAAAGGTGGTGGGGGTGGGGTGGCGGGGTGGGGGAAGAAAGAGGTGGGGATGAGAGAGAGCGAGAGAGCGCGAGCGAGCTTGGAAAACCTTGCCAGTGGTGCTTGTGCTTCCTATGGGGTTGCTCAGGAGACACATCATGTCTAGTTCTCTGTCTCTGTGATTGGTAAGAAGATTGATGAGTGGTTCAAGTATGGTGAGTGCAGTTCACCCCTCTGAACTTCCCTTCCACCTTTCAACTAATGGGGTTAGCACCCAGTGGTGGTAGCTGGTTTTTAGGAATTGCAAAATGGTGATACTCTAATTCTGTCATTTCCTTTGGCCTTGATTATCTAGAATTATTCCTTCTCAGCTATTTGGTTACTCTAAAATAGTTTGTCCAGAAAAGGCAGAGTAAATGCTTGCTTGATCCTTTTTATTTGCCATTTTCAGAATAATGAATTGTTGCTATAGTAACTTCTACATATGACTTTTTTTTTAGTATCATCATGGCTTTAAATATATTTGGTGTGTTTCAAAGCAGTCTCTGTCATTTATCTTTTAACACGCCGCTTGTCCTATCCATAGGAGCCCTTTCGAGGCAGGTCGCTTAGCTGTCCTTAGCCATCATCCTCGTAGTCTTCAGCATCTTCCGTGTTGTTTGGTTTTGACAGTGTATTAGTCCATTCTCATGCTGCTGTGAAGAAATACCTGAGAATGGGTAATTTATAAAAGGAAGAGGTTTAGTTGACACACTATTCCACAGGACAGGGAGGCCTCGAAAACTTACCGTCACTGCAGAAGGGAAAGCAAACACGTCCTTCTTCACACGGTGCAGGAAGGAGAAGAATGAGAGAAGTACAGGGCGAAGCAGGGCAAAGCCCCTCACAAAACCATCACATCTTGTGAGAGCTCACTCGCTGCACGAGAACAGCATGGGGGACCACCCCCGTGATTCAGTCACCTCCCACGAGGTTTCTCCCCTAACGTGTAGATTACAATTCAGATTACAATTCAAGATGACATTTGGGTGGGAACACAGAGCCAGACCATATCAGACAACTTGAAATTTCACACGGATCAGTAGAGACTCACGATGTGTTTTTCTCTTAATTGAAAAAAAGATAGCCTCGCTCCATCTACTGAAAAGGTCTGGAAACAGTGACCAACCCAAAAGCCCTGATCATCCCGAATGACTAGACTGTGGCTCTAAATACCGTTTACCACTAGAAGGAGATAGAGCTCCTTGAAGAAAAGATTAATTCCAGACCCAAGACAGGAAATGTGCAAGATGTTTCCAATTCAAATATAATTAGAGTTTTTTCCTTCTTTGATTTTATATTTGTATTCTTTTATATAAAACCCTTATGTTAAAATATATGAATGAAACTGGTTTGGTTTATCCAGCTGCATAAACATAAACACATACTGTCAGTTACCACAATGACATCACATAACAAAGCTTCAACCAAGGTTGGCAAACTATGAACTGAGGGCTAAGTTGGGCCACCTCGACATAGTTTACCTGTCACCTGTGGCTACTTTCATCGGCTGTTGGTTCGAGTAGTTGTGACGGAGAAACAGACCGTATGACCGCCCCCAAAACTGGAAGTGTTTACTGTCTACCCTGTATAGAAATCCAGGCACAGCCCAGCGGAGTTCTGCAGCTCAAGGTCTCAGGCCGTGATCCAGGGGCAGGCCAGGTGTGCAAACCTCTCCAGGCTGGATGGAGACAGGGCTTCCCTTCCTCTGTGACCATAAAGCAGGGGCTGCCCTCTGTGTCCTGCCCCATGGGCCTCTCTATAGGGCAGAATGTAGCAGCAGGTGTCATCAGAGCGAGGGCTTCAGGAAAGAGAGATTTTTTTTTAATTGAGTTAGGTTTTATCCTATGCATTTTCTAAATCAGAAAGTGGCCAGATAAATGTTGTAGGTAAAGACATATATTAGAGCCCAGTGATGTGTACTCCAAATACACGTTTGTAGAAGTCAGATTAGCCAAACATCGCTCTCCGTTGTTTTTTAGGCTTGCACCCTTGCTCGGAGGAATGCAGATGTCTTCCTGAAATACCTGCACAGGAACAGTGTGAACATGCCAGGAATGGTGACGCACATCAAAGCTCCTGAACAGCAAGTGAAAAGTGAGTAGAGCTGGGAATCCCCAGGGGCGGCCCAGTGCATGCCTGGCAAGAGACGGAAGGAGCCTGCACGACGTGTTCTGAACTCTCAACCTCAGTTTCGTTTTAAATGTCCGTTTCATGTTAATGAAGTCCTTACTAATGATCTTAGTTTAATAGTGAAAGATTAAACAAATGTATAGGCTGATACTATATTGAATAGGTTGATAATTTATTGAATAAATTGAAGAATATAAACAGGGAGAAAATGTAAAATCAGGATGATATTTACTGCCATTGGCTATTTTGTTAAAGTGAAAAATAAATAGGGGGAAAGGAAAAACCAGAGTTATCTATAAGCAAAGTATTTTTTAAAGCTCAAATTGAGAAAATACATCCCAATTTTATCACTATGAAGTATTATCAATTTTGTATACCTGAGGCATAGTTAATAAAAACAAACTGAAAAATAATATGTAGGTTATGTCATTTGAGTATAAAAACCTGTAAAACCATGTTTGTGTGTGTGTGTGTGTGTGTGTGTGTGT